TGAACATATTGACAACGGCGACAATATCACGGCCAGGAACACGTTAAGTTCCTAGACAGTACCGTTGTCAGAAACCTTTAAAGTTAAGCACTAAAACTGGTTCGTTGTCATGAACATACAGGTGAGGCTATGATAAAATCCGTCCGGTGTCATGACTTGAGAAGACAGGTTGTGAGAAGTTTTTCATTTTTCAAGTTAAATTATCTATAACAATGTCTGAAATTGCAATGGGAAACAGGACTGACACCCTATTTGGTGCTGTATGAATTTCAGCCGTTAAAAACAAGTAGTAAAAGAGGAGTTTGCGTTGGCGATATTAAACCCTGTTGAAAACACATGTGGATTTTATTCATTTTCCTTCCGATATGTTATACATGTATTTTTTGTAAATAGAATATAATATACACACCAATTGGTGCAGACAGTATCAAGACATGTTGTAAACCTTTACAGAAAAATGGAGAACAAATTAAAACTGAAAATTTTGATTTATTTCAATTTTTGTCCGTTGTCATGACAAGATACGAAAATTCAGTCCGTTAAATTGTCATCGATCCGTTGTCGCTACTGTATTGTATACACTACGAAGGACAATCGTATGCTGTTTTAGGTATCGTTAAGCATGCCATCAAAAAGAGAGGTGTGACGGTACATATTGTCGTTTTGTACATACTGTCGTCGGCGACAAAATGTACCTACCCTGACTGCACATATCGTCGTCCATCGATACACATGTCACCGGCGACAATTTGTACCGATACGAACCTTTTTCTTCCTCCTGCGTAAAGGAAGACAAAATGTACAGTCAAGTATCGGCACGTTTTGTCGTCGGCGACAGTATGTACTGTGACTATTGGCACATTTTTCGCCGATGTGGTGTGTTGAATATTTACTAAGGTCGTGAAGAGAGAGAGAGAGACATACAGAGAGAGAGAGAGAGAGAGAGAGAGAGAGAGAGAGAGAGCTAGACAGACAAAAGGACAAAGTGTTTGGTTGATAAATAAGTAAACAAGTTGTACTTATTTAGCATTACTCGCAATGCTGTAGGGAGAAATGGTGTTGCTCAGAAAATTGTGTCCAGCATTGGTTAACATGACTTTGATATGTCAAAATACCGTAATTCTTGAGATATCTGAAAAATCAGTCTATTATTTATTTTGTTATATAGACATGGATATGAGATTGAAAGTGATTTGTCCAGTAGAATTGTTATCTGGAATTCATCTTCTTGCTTAATTCTCATACAAGTGCCGATATATTGGCGTAGGGGTTGACACATTTTTAGCTCACCTCTGCTGTTAGCTCCAGTGGGCTTTTCTGATCACATTTCTTGTGTCGTCCGTCTGTCTGTCTGTAAACTTTTCATATTTTCAGCTTCTTCTCAGGAACTACTGGCCAATTTCATTTTCAACCAAACTTACAAGAAAGCAAACATGGATAAAGGGAGTTTTAATGGAATATTTAAGAATAATTCTTTCAAAATTTTCTTCTCAAGAACTTCTGGATCAGAAGAGATGATACTTATGTGAAAGTACATACATGAAGTATACTTTTAATTTTTTAGATTCTGGCACGAAAAAGATCTCACACTTTTCAATGGCCCTGAGTTCCGAGAATAGGTCTAAATTTTTGGCCCTCCACCGGCAAGTGGTGATGTCTCCTTATGAGTGAAAAATTCTCTAGAGGGATATTAAAACAACAAACAAAGAAACAAAAACAAAATCAATTTTGTTCAAATCATGACCCCCATAGGTAGGATGGGGCCACAATTGGTGATAAAAGTTTTCCGTTAGAATATACGGTATACTCTTTAAAAATCTTCTCAAGAACCAAAGGCGGATCTAGCACCGACGCATCCCACCCCCTCCCCAATCCCACCCTGTCCCCTCCGTTTTTTTTTTTTTTCATTTTTCTTTGCTTTTGTAAATTCTGTTTTTTTTAAACCTGTATATACTCTCAATTTTGACCACAGGTAAAATTTCATGATAAAATAATATACTTACCTTATACAGTAACACTCCTTCACATACAAACGATTTTTTTTGTTTGTCAAAAAAAAAATCTGAACCGCACCCCCCTTTCCTCGTTCTGAAATTTTTGGATCAAATATTGAGAACAGCAGTAGGCCCGTGATTAGCGATGTTTATATGGAAGCATCATCAGGTAGTGTAGATTCAAGTTTCTTTTAATCATGACCTACGGGCCTAGGTTGGGGTCACAAAGGGCGATCAAAGTTTTACACAGGAATATAAAGGAAAATTCTTTAAACTTTTTCTTCTCAACAACAGCAAAGCAATGATTAGTCATATCTATATGGAAACATTGCCATGCATTGTCATGCGACATGTACTGATGGACGACAATATGCTCAGTGAGTGCTTGTACACATTGTCGCCGGCGACAATATGAACAGGACGACAAAATGTACCGTCACAATCACGCTGCATGAAATAGCATACGTCAATGTGATTTACAAACCAATTACATTCACAAATCCACCAAAAACAAGAGGCCTATAGGCCACATCGCTCACCTAAGCACTTTGGTTCGAAAATAGCAGAAATCACTTAGGTATTCAAAAGTTTAAATATTAAAGTGGAAGGGGGGTGGGGTATGATTTGAACAAACTTGAATCTACACCACCTAAAGATGCTTTTGAACTAATATGACTAATAATGGCTTTGTTTTCTAAAGAAGAAATTTTTATTGATATATCCTTTAAAACCTTTTGTTTAACTATGATCCTCTGTTTGGCCCCTCTGTTGGTCATGATTTGAACAAATTTGACTCAACATTACCTGAGGATGCTTTTATTTTATTATGACCAATCAAGTTTTTGTTGTTCATGAGGATAACATTTTTTAATGATTTCCCCTATGTGTTCCTATGTTAAACTTTGATTTGAATAAACTTGAATCTACACAACCTGAGGATGCTTCCATATAAATATGACCAATCATGGCTTTGCTGTTCTTGAGAAGATTTTAAAAGATTTTTCCTATGTTATCCTATGTAAAATTTTGATAGCCCACTGTGGTCCCATCCTACCCACGGGGGTCATGATTTGAACAAACTTGAATCTACATTACCTGAGGATGCTTCCACATAAGTTTCATATTATCGGCCGTTGTCTTGCCCGATTTTTATCTCCTTTTTTTTCGTCGGCCGAACAATTTTATGCACGTCAGTCGGGTCAAGTTATTTTTTTTTGTCTGTGGCCGATTCAATCGAAGCATTCATTGAATAGTCCGTCCACCAACCTTCGATCATCGGCCGATCATCGGCATACAGTTTTTAAAGTCGGTCGTCAGTCGGTCGACATTTAGGCATTGGGTTTTCGTACAACTGTCGGCCGCAGATGAAAATCAAACTGCGGCCTAACGAACGATGATCGGGTGATGGTTGGTCAACTTATAAGTATTTTTACTTTTAAAGGTATCTGTGTTCCTAGGAATTAATATGACTACTCTGCGTCGCCCGAGTGTCGGCCGATCATGTTTTTTTTCAGCCGACGATACGAAATAATTTGGTCGCCTGACCATCGGCTTAAATGTGACCTAAGCATAACATTTTAATTTTGTTATACTGATGATATACAAGGAATTGTATATGTTTGCATACTAGCTAGGATGCAGGTTCCTAAGAGAAAATGAATTGAAAATAAAAACATCGCAGAATAGTTAGCACGTTGGTGTGAGCTGCTTTAAGGCGACCCCGAGATTCAAATATATTTGTAATATGCTTTGTATTCTTTTAAATTAAGCATATATTTGATCATTTCTGTTGCATTTTATTGATTAACTTACATGTTAAGAAAAATGACACCGGACCAGATAAACTTAACATGTACTGACAACGGACATTTTGCTTATAAATTGCGATTTCTTAAAACATGTTAGCTACAAAAGGCTGTCAGTTGCCTAATACATTGAAAATGAAGTTTCTCTTCATATTTTAAAATAAAGGTACCATTTCGATGAATTAAATATAAAAAATATATAATTTTCCAGCTCATAATCATGGCTTCACACATGGACATGTGATCGCCAACCAAAACTCCTCAAATGTATTGTGGATATCAAATACATAAATATTTGTATGGATATGAATGTTGTATCTGTTTCCCAAAATACAAATTTATTCTTGGAATTTGTCAAAAACGTTAAAATTTAGGCATCATGTATAAATTCTTGTATCTTTTGCATGACACCGGACGGATTTTATCCTAACCTCACTTGTATGTTCATGACAACGAACCAGTTTTAGTGCTTAACTTTAAAGGTTTCTGACAACGGTACTGTCTAGAAACTTAACATGTTCCTGGCCGTGAATATGTACTACCTCTACTGCACATATTGTAGTTCACGGAACATAATGACAACGGGTGACAAAAAAAAGCTTATACGGCATATGCTAAGGCAAGCTTTTTAGTTTTCCCTGCATAATGGCTAACAAAATGCACCCTATATATACGCACACATTGTCGACAATATGTACTGCGAACTTTTGCACATTTTCTCGTCGAAAAGGTTAATTAACCAGACTGTCCGCAATCAGACAGAGAGATAGATTCTTGGTATTTGTAACATTGTTTTCCCTATTCACGGTGCAACTTGTATATTAAATATAGCTTTATATTGCAGATGCTTCTTTGAAGTTACAAATGACAATTGTTAGTTAAAACTTATGAGTTGTCTTTTAGTGAACATGCAATCTAAGGAAGATATATATATATATATATATATATATATATATATATATATATATATATATATATATATATATATATATATATAAGTTGCGCTTTCATAAATAGCGACTTTCATGAGTTTACTGACAAGTCTGTGTGATTTACACATCAATAATGTATCACAAAACTAAGAACAATCCTCGAGAAACCATAATGGGGACCACAATGCATGCATGTGAAAAAAAAAGGTAAGTCACAAATTGTCGCTGACGACAATATGTACACGTATATTTTTTCAGCCGGTGACAATATGTACCGATGGACAACAGTATATGCTATGAGGGTAAGTGTATATTGATGCTGACGACGATATATACAGGACGACAATATATACAGGACGACAATATGTATCGTCACAAGAGCTACTTTTCCGTTCTGAATTACATTTGCTTTCCTTATCAGTTCTGACCTTCAATTCCAATGCTATGATATTGCAGGCAGTATATTAGTGGTCTTCAAATGTCACTGTGAGTATTGATAATGATTTATTTTGTAACCTATGTATACTTTTTAACCTTACATTTGTATTCAAATATGTCATTCAAATTTAAATAAAGAATTTAAACACGTACATCCATTCATATACGAAAAATAGCTATATACTTCATCAAAACATTCAAATTACAGACTCGTTATTTTGATCTCTATACTTACAAAGACTGTTCAGGCTGATCCAAAATATGACGGCATTCTTCGGAATATCTCGGATGGGACCATGGAAGCTTACATGATGCCACCCTTTGCGTCAAACCACGCATCGTTCATTGAGCCTCTTCCAAATGGTGACCTTGTCATGGCTTGGTTTAGTGGAATATCGGAAGGGATGAGCAATGTTGCCATTGTTTTCAGCCAATTGAAAAATAATTCCAACCAATGGTCAAAAGCACAGGTCGTGTCCCAGAGAAAAGGATACTCTAATCAAAACCCAGTGTTCTTTTATGATAATAAAACAGATGCTTTGTACCTTTTCCACACGCAACAGGAAGCAAAAAAATCACAACTTGGAACAAGAAGTGAAGGTTCACATTAAATTGCTTTTTTTCTTTGAAATTTGAATTCATATTTGAATAAAAGTCTGCATATTGTTATGTACATGTATGATGAATCATTTTTATTATAAAGAATCCGCAGAAATATGGGTGTTGAGTGCATTGAATGTGACGAATTCTTCCAATATACGGTTTTCCCCACCGCGCGTGATGTTTAAACACAAAGGTGAATACTTCGTATAAATTTTGCTTTCATGTTAATAATTTTGTCAAAGAAATCTTATTTTTAATAAAAATACACATAATTACAGCATATTGTGCCGAGAAAAATTGACAGAAAAAGCTTTTTTAACTAAATAATTTTATAAACTTAAGGAATAATAGTCATTAACCATTTAGAGTTATCTTTCTTCTTTGAGGGTCTATGAACGTTGATATATTGACGATCAATAAGATTTTACATATATCAGTGAACATTTAAGATTAAGAACAGAAAAGATAAGATACTGTAGACGGATAATAATCCTTGTATATTTTTGATTTCAATTTAAATTTTGGTCAAAAAATAGGTTCGTTTGATCGAAATAGAGTTGTTGTATCTTTGAGAAATACATGGTTGTACCCTATATACTACGCCGGCGGATCCAGCAAGGATCAAAGTTCAAATCTAAAGGAATGTGTGGATCACAACGTGTTCAGTTCTTGGCTAGACCATCCGTTTTTGGACACCAACTATCTGGTTCAACCATCCGTCATCAGGCCAAAGAAAGGTAATTAATATAAGCGTTTATTAATTTCTTTTCATGTATCAAATTACTTTAGCTTGATTTGTTCAATTGAAATGTACACACAGTAAAGTTTTCAGTGGTTTCTTCCCATTAGCATGTGAAGACAATACCTTGATTACATTTTTTTTTTTTTTTTTTTTTTTGAATTTCAAGTACTTGTACATGCAGGTCCCTTTGATCATTTAGTACAATTTTACATGTATTTCTTTAAAGAAAGCATATCGATTATGCTTTTAATATTGTGGAATAGTTCCTTTTTTCTGATAATTGGAAATTGTTATAAAAAAAATTAAAATTTAGTCCTTTAAATACAACATTATTTGTAAACGAGTATTATGACTGTACATGCTTCCAATGAATACAAAATGCAGAGAATATACAATATGCCTTCATGGCTTTAAGTAAAAAATTGGAGATCTGCTGACATTAGACCAAAGAGATATAAAAAATTATTTTATAAAATCAACCTGAAATTATTGCAAATTGAGGAAAAAACAAGAAATTAAAACCAGTGGCATATTATGAAAGGACAAGGGAAAAAATCTTATATACAGTGCTGAGTATTTTTAGAATATATCCATGCAGTTCATGAATTCTTATAGTACACTTATTCGCTTATTTCAAAAAAATTGCAAAATACTGCCACCCCGCTCTTTTAGGTTGTATATTGTATGACAATATAATTTCTGTCCATTCATTAATTGGAAGAAATTATAAAAGGCCGAAAGACGAAAATCAAAGACAGTTCTTGCGCTGATCGATGCAAAAGGAGAAAATAATTTATCATTTGAAAGAATTTTTCTTAAAATATTCAGGAAAAAATGTTGGGATTGATTCATTAAATGAAGAACAAGTTGTTTCTCTCATTTCAAGGACATTGGAATCAAGAGATCGCTTCTGTTTCTCTGGGCACGATGTCAAGTCACATTTTCTTTGAACTAAGCATGATTATTTAGTAGAAACCATTCTTTAAACAGGCAAGTTAATCGTACAATGAAAATAGGAAAGGAAATTTACTGGGCCTGCCAATCAGGCGGTGAAGCATCAATTTCGCAACCACCAGGTGTCGTATATATTGCTAAGTCAAAAGAATAAGTAAACTAAAATTCAGAATAAATATAACAATGTAAATTATGCTTTCTTCCATTGATGATAATTTTAGATTTCCCATAAATTATGTAATATATATGAAGATTTGGATGATTTTAGAGATCATGTTTAGTCTAGACAAAGAAGCGGAAGTTATATGCATATAAATAAAAAGAACAATTTATATACATTGTCCAAACTCCTTAATTGATTTGCACTAAACTTTAAAAGGAACTTATACATTTACTTCAAACTTAAAGGATTTGACGTAAGAATGATTAACGCACATTTGCAAGCAATTTGATTTCCTAAAGCAAAAATGTTGAAAAGTACCATATAAATTATAAATCTTTTACATCTGAAAAACATAATCGTATAACAAGGGGGGGGGGGGGGAGGTTGCGAAACAATTTCCAATAAATAACTGTTTAATAGATCAACATCTATCTATTGTCAATTTAGCAGAGAACTTAAAATAGCTTAAATAAATTATAGTAGTATTACAAACACATGTATTGATTTCAATATGAGTAACTTTTTACAGGAGTTTATCAATATTCCTCCTATTGCATAGAACAGAGAAAATATTCATCACAGATCTCGATATATGTAGTCATACATTTTAAAATTATATAAAGTGAATGCACTTCAGCCGAGACAAAGGTATTTTTAAGAATGTTTTAACACCACTGAAAACATGTTGTGTTTATAGTTATCAACAAAAAATCCATCTAGACATTTTCATAATATTCACAATAAAACAATAGAATGTCATTCAAAACCTCATTGCGTCTCTATTTTTACAATGAATATGTTTGGAATTTGCTTAAAAATCGGAAATCATTATAATTTATGTGTCTACATAATTTGTTTTAGGTGATCTGCGACTCGTGGCATTCTTTCGAGACAGGAGAGCACAGTACATTTATAAAGCCGATAGTTCTGATGATGGTAAAACGTGGTCTAAACCAACAAAAACAACATTGCCCAATAACAACAGCGGGATAGAAGCCACGGTTCTCAGCAGCGGTAACTTTGCTATCGTGTACAATCCAACAAACAAAGATCGAAATCCTCTCAGTATTTCACTGTCTACAGACCAAGGTTTGTACTATGTGGTAAATATATGAAATAAAGTCATTTTTGTGAGGATACTCAAACTGGATTGTTATTGTTAAGGACAGATGATAAAAAAAAATGGATGTATGGTTTGGTATATTTTTAGGACTTATTTTGGTTGTTAATGATGTAAATATCAAATATCTGTAAAATGTTTGATGTTCAAAATTCTAACTTTCTGCGTTCGCCGTTTTAAATCTTTGCAACATATCTTGCAACTCTATATCAGTTTATAGGATATTAATGAGAAACTTCGAATGAAAAACCAATTCTATGCGATTAAACTTATTCATTTTACATATATTAATATGACTATTTGTTATTTTCATGATTTTTGAAAACAAGTTTGTATATAATGGAGTCCCACCATAGAATAAGAGAGATAACTAATCCTAAAATTTCCCATAGTTTGTCTTACCAGAGTTTATTAATGGAGAACCTTAAATACCTAGTTCAATGAAAAGTAACTGAAAATTAACCACCTCTTCGTACTTTATACAATTTTTCGAATTTGAATCTAATGCTATATACATGTAATTGTTGATAAAAATCAATGTTGGGAAGTTAAAAAACAAAACAAAGGGTCATTACTCAACAAGGAGATTAAATGCAATATACTGAGTTTCAAAAACAAAAAGAAAAGATAAAAAAAAAAAAAAAGATGATGGGTAATACCATTCTTTATTAATTCATTAATTATCCGTTAATTTACCTTATCTATCAGTATAGTAGTGATGAATACTAAATACATGTAATTTAGTTTATTGCTACCGAAAGTCAAGCATTTCGCTAAAATGTTTAATAAAAATATTAATATTAAATATATATGTGAACATGACCATAATTAAGTTACGTGTATATGAACGTTATATATACAGGTCTAACTTGGAAGTACACAAGAAACCTAGAATATAAAACAGATGAAAATGGAGTCGAGTTCAGTTATCCCACCTTGTTTCAGGACTCCACGGGCAGGATTCATATCTCCTATACATACAATCGAGAGACAGTAAAACACAGAGTCATTCCGAATGAACAATGGATTATGCAACAATAAAACAATAATAGATTCTTCTTGGTTCTTATCTATTCAACACATTTACAATCCAGGTTTGCCAATGGTATTATAAAATATGTAAAATATATGTATTTGAATAGAAGCTCTTTCTTATACTGTAACTTTGTTTTTTTTCTGTGTTCATGGTTTATCTTGAATGCTTTTTTCATAATTACAAAACAATATACTACAAATGCTCAGTAATATAACATGTATTATATATACATAAACATGCACTGTATTATCAAGGGATTTGGGGGAGGGGTTCCCTATTTTTCTGAGAATGGTAATTTACTGTCAATTTAATATTTTTATTGAAAGGCAGTTTCCTACAGTACATCCTTCTCTTTGTTGCAGTAACCCCCCCCCCCCTTTAAAAAGTGTTTTTTTCTTTTTCAAGTTGGGCTATTTTTGCATTATTTATAGGAGCTGTTTTGTTTTGTTTTATCATGCTTGAGGAAGCATTTTTTTAACTTGTCAAATTTTTTTTAGCCCAGTTCCCCCACTTTGGAAAACAAGTCGAAGAGCTTGATAAATAATAAAAAGAACGTTTTATCATTTTTACACTTGTGACCATTTCACCTTGCCTTATGGATCCTCCAGTGTCATGCAGGTAGTATTAGGGCTGTAACCGTTATACAACTAGTATATTGTAATGAGTTCTTTTTGGATTTTGTAGAGTTGAGAAGGAAAACAATATCAATCAGAATAAACAAATAAATTTATTAACACAAAATAAATAAAATAGAAAACAAATAAATTCTATGTCATTCATTCACTCTCGCATACAGGCTCACACACCGAAAATGAAATAAATGTAATAGTAAAGTGTTAACTCAGTTTTCACCAATTCCGATACTTTACATTAATTCAATATTAACTTCTACAATTCTGATTCAGTAAGTATCAGATATTATATCAAATGAAAAATTCACCAAAATTGACTTAAATAATATTCCGAAAAACTCAAATAATATTAGTTAATAATTATATATACTTCAAAAAGATAATTTCCTTTTCTTAAACGGCTGAAAGTTACTCAATAGTTACTAAATCACAACTGCTTATAAACGTTCACCGGAAGTCACACCACACGTGCATCCGCCATTAGCACTCATCTAGGAACGTCTAAGTCCTGTACCGTTCTCTCGTCACCACGTGGTAGTTGCTTTAACCGTAGCCCCGGGTCTATCGCCTCCAACTGCGGTTATCCTACCAACATCGGTTCCTGGTCTGCATCGACGATCGGGCATGACACGACTGCCCTCAATCCAACGCTCCCCACTGACCTCAAACGCTTATAACAGTCGTCAACTGACCCTCAGCCCGTCTTCTAGGTGCACAATACTCTCTCAGCACCTTACGCACTGAAATAAATTTACTTTTACAAAATCTAACCTATATTACAACTGAAAAATGGAAATTTATAATAAACCACCTATATACATTATTCGAACACTCTTACCGGCTAGAACTGCATACACACGCTGCAATAGTCCTCCTAACAAGTTATATGGCTACCCGTTAAATTCAGTGCTATATCTCACCGAAATATATTCGCTATTTGTATAATCATGCAGGGGATAAAGCAAACGTGGTACACCTCCGGCTGGTCACGCTACCGGACACCAAACTAGATCTGACCACTCTGACAAAACCAGTCCCTTTATATAGTGGCAGCAAAACAACCCCAACAGTATGGAAACCCGTTATAAAAACATTTAAACAATATTTACAATAGACTAAAAAATCAACTTCGTCACATATATAATAATAATAATAATATTTTATTTAGAGAAGGTAGCCTGATTAGTGTGGCACACTATTCTTCCTCGGGACCTTCTAATTACAACAAACATTACATCAAAAATATCAAAGAATAACAAATAGTAATTGAGACATCCAGTACATAATATTTACAAGATCGCATAATGATAATAACAATCAAATATAATAGAATGACAGATAAAGTGATATAATCTCGCAATTGTAAGACATGACAATACAAATATCTACATTTATACAAAAGATATCAAATTAGAATAATTAAATACTATTGTTGAGGATAAGTCTTTCTACATTTCGCTTAAAGACTTATAGAGTTGGTGCACATCTTACATTTAAAGGCAAACTGCTCCATAAATGAACACCAGATTATTGAAGGGAATTTTTAAACAAATCTGTTTTGTGTTTTGGTAGACGAAGGTCATGAGAATTAGATTCTGAGCGTAAAGTATAAGCATTAGAAGTTTGAAAAACAAATAAATCATTTAGGTAAGCAGGGCTCTGATTGTAAAATATTTTTTACAACAAGATACATTTGTGTAAAGTTAATAAATCAAAAACAGATAGCCAGCCTAATTTTTCAAATAGTGCCTTTAATGGTGCATCAGGAGTCGCATTAAGTATGATTCTAGCGGCCCTTTTTTGGAGCTTATGGATTCTTTCCATGCAACTGCCTGGTGCATTACCCCAGATAGTCAGACAATAATTAATAGAAGGCAGTATGAAGGCATTGTAGAATAGTTTTCTGGTTTTCAGAGGAAGCAATTTCTTGATTTTTCGCAAGGTAAATAATTTATATGTTAAAGATTTGCAGACTGAATCTACATGGTTATGAAAATTTAGTGTATGGTCTATATGAACCCCTGGTAGCTTTTCTGTTTCAACATTGTCAAGGTGTTTGTCAGAAACATGCAGACTCAATTTTGGATTATTTAAGTTTGATTTTCTTTGATGGGTTCCTATCAGCATACATTTTGTTTTATCACCATTTAAAACCATTTGATTTTCTAAACACCATTTTTCAATATTTACTAAATCAGAATTTAGAGTTGTTTCAATACACGATATATTGTTCTCAGAAACATGTAGAGTTGCATCATCGGCAAACATATCAATGTTTGTTTGAGAGACATGTAAGGGAAGGTCATTAATATATAACAAAAACAGTAATGGGCCTAATATTGATCCATGTGGCACTCCTGCTGTGACAGGTAAGACATCAGAAGAAGATGTACCAATTTTTACACATTGTTATTCAAATACGAGTGAAACCAATTAATTGACAGTTGATCAAAGTTGTAATTCTTTAATTTATCTATAAGAATGTCATGACTTACTAGATCAAAAGCTTTGCTGAAATCCAAGAATGTTATGCCTATGAGATTATCTTGGTCCATTGCATCCAACCAAGCATCTGTTAGTTTAGTGAGTGCTGTTTGACAAGAGTGAAATTCTCTGAACCCAGATTGAGATGTTGTAATTAGATCGAAAGTTGAGGTAAAATCTCGCAATTGGTTTGCTATGTGCTTTTCAGTTAGTTTGGATAATGTTGGTAGTATAGAAATGGGACGGTAGTTACTAGGGTCTGCTTTGTTACCTTTTTTGTATACAGGGGTGACTTTTGCTTGTTTCAACTTCAATGGAAAAACACCACTACTAATGCTAGTATTATTTAAATGAGTGATTGATTTTCCAATGATACTATCTGATAGTTTTAAGAGACGAGGTCCAATGAAGTCAATGCCTGCCGATTTATTTTCATCAAGCCCGTTTAACAACTCAAATACTACAGTTTCGCTAATAGGTGTAAGGCTAAAAAAGTTTTCATCACCAACTTTAGATTTCGTAAATTGTTTTAACAATTCTGGGTCAAATTTGCAGTTTGGTAGATTATGCAATAGCTTACTTGAAATTCCTGTGAAGTGCTCATTAAAAAATATTTGCAATTTCTTGTGAATTGTTAGTTTCTGATTCATTATGAGTGATATGGGTAGGAGTAAAATTTTTAGAATTAGATGCCAATTGATTTAGATATCCCCACATTTCTCTGGAGTTTGAACTATCCTCAATGGCTGATCTGTAATACGAAGTTTTTGCATTGTCAATCAAGAGTACAACTTTATTTCTCCATGCTCGGAAATTTTCAAAATCCCTCTGATGGTGGTAAAAATCTCGTAAATGTCTAGCTTCGTTAATTTCTTTAGTTAACCATTTTGGTCGAGTTTCACTTTTAACTCTTTTGTTTTTAACTCTGGCAAAGCTGTCAAGGACATTATTAAACATTTTATAGAAAGTATCAAGGATATCATTAGGATCGTGTAATTCTGCAAGACTATCAAAATTTTCATTTTTTAAATCAGACAGAAAATTAGATTCGTTAAAATTATTGAAATCACGGTAATACATGGAATGGAGGTTTTATTTTAATGTACTTTAATCAGCAAGATGTAAATACATTTTAAATTCACGAAAGCATGAAAAGATAGATAACTCCATCTATAAGACGTCAAGAAACACCAAAAACCTTTCTGATATATAAAAATTGCATTTTTCTAACTTATTTATACTTAATAGGCCAGGTTTCTAACGACCCAACTCAATAGCACATATAGAGGTTAATTCAAAACATTAATGTACGGAAAATAGCAACTCTCTAAATTGTCATCTAATAACAAGTATTCACGACTACTTGAATGCTGCAGAAGCGTTTAGTTCTACGTTGTAATCCCCCTCCCCAGATTTTACCTTTAAAATTGGAATTACTAACTTTAATCATGGCTTTATCAACTTTAATCTTGCCTTTTCCAACTTAATCTTGGCCTTTTCAACTTGGAAATTGGAATTAACAACTTTAAATTTGATTTTTCTAACTTAGAAGTTTGAATTACCAATTTATTCTTAACTTCTTCAATTTTGAAATTGGAAATTCCATCTTTAATCTTGGCCTATCCAACAAACTTGGCTTATCAAATTTGTAACTTAGTTTTTAAACTTTAAAGTCGTACTTCCGACTATAAAGTAGGTTGACGAAAAATTTTGTTGACACGAAAAAAAACGCACTCACACATATGCGTATATGCATTTTTACTATTTTGGGTATAATTTTAATCGATATATATATATATATATATATATATATGGACCGTTCTCTAGGAAAAGGGGTCTTAATGACAAAATTCTCGAAATTGACTTTTTCAAATATTTCAAATCTACAACAAATTTAGGACACACAGTCAAAATTTGAGGATTTAATTTGTTATAGTTTCAAAAAATATACGTGTTTGAAAACAACATGTTGTAATGAAACAATAACGTCATTGACATTATTCAATAACGTCATCTTTTTTAAAAAAAAAATGGCGTCTTAGAAACAGAGAATAAGATTAATTTGATGATGAAATACAATTTTAACCTAACTTTATGCTTCCCCTTTTGAATAAATATATCACTAAGGACATTTATTAGATTATTTAGTGTGTGTTGCACAGTGAATAACTACAATAAATACATGTTTATGTATATCAACTTAATTTCATAAAGGTAAACTATACTTCTTGCTTTCAATAAATACTGTTGAAAACGACAAAGAAAATAATTATGATAACAAAGAAACAGGAAACTAAATACAAAACAAAGCTGTGTCATTATGTGTACGTTATTCAAGCGATTGACAGGCCCGATGGGAAATTTATGAAGAGGTAAATGCTTGCGAGAGTCAGTGATACCAATGGGATACAAGTTTGGCTTTCCAGAAAGCCTGAAGTGTCATCTCTTTGGCTTCATTAATGTCACAGAATAAACAGTGGAATGTAACATTTTTCCTCAGCTATTACAGACAGAAGAACTTTTTTTTCAAAAGGGGGGGGGGCACAGAATAAACAGTGGAATGTAACATTTTTTCCTCAGCTATTACAGACAGAAGAACTTTTTTTCAAAAAGGGGGGGGGCACAGAATAAACAGTGGAATGTAACATTTTTTTCCTCAGCGATTACAAGCAGAAGAACTTTTTTTCAAAAAAGGGGGTGGGTAGTCAGAAAAAAATTACAACTTACTGAATAATCTTTCACTAGGAAAAAAAGGGGGTGTTCAAACTCGAAATTCTTATTTCGTGGATCAGAGGGAAGATTTAAACTTTTTGACTCTCTCGAAAACACATTGGGGAGGGGGGGGGGGGGTATGAATATGCTGCAACAAAAAAATGTGGTGAAGGTAGAGGCAAGCTGCCTTTCAGTAAACATTTGCAACAGTTATTTCAAATATTTTTTATATATGTGTTTAAAAAATGTAAGCACTGAGCAGTATTCGTATTTGTAAACAATTGTTATACAAGAGGATGGGTAAAACCTTAGCGTTCCTGTTGACTTTACATTACAGCAGCTTACTCGGACAACAGCCAAGAAGTTTAATGCGCTAACTTGAATTAGTCCGGTGTCATATAGTGAGACTCCCACCCCCATAGTGAGACTTCCCCCGGAAATATGGCTATATATAGCGGTAAGACTCCCCGGTGGGGGGGGGGGGGGGAGAGAATTACTATATAGTGAGACTTCCCCCCTAAACGACCATAGTGAGGCTTCCCCCTTCCATGTTCAGTAGTATTTTATTTACATTGACGATGTATATATATTTGCATTTTGATAATGATCTTATAAAATAGATACATGTATGAATAAATATAGAAGTGCGCATTAAAAATTTATCGTGCACAGTAAATAATTGAATTGTTCCGAAATGATTCTTATCAAAAGAAATACATTTAACATTTAATAGATCATTCCTCGTGGACTCTTGGAATTTGCTTATGTTAACCTTCCTGGGGAATGCAATAAATACAATATAGTAAAGAAAAATGTAT